CAGGATGTGGGTCCCTGGGATGAAATGACCACCCATTCTGTTGTTCAGTGCTGTACGATCCTAGACACATGCATCGCCCTTGCTGCTTGCACTAAATCATTCCAAAACAAAGCTCATGTTAAAAAAAAAAAAAAATTCTGGATGTATCCATTCTGTACCTCCACTATCACCCATGATCTCACCAAAGTCAATGACCTCATAGTCAAAGCCCTTGGAAGTATCCTCAATTGTTCTGTTAGCCTGGCCATGGCCTTCCTCCCATCTGGCCCCAACTCCTGTCATTGACTTCCCCAGCCTAAGCTGGCTTCTTTGATTCCTGGAAGGCATCACGGTCTTTGTTCCACACGATTTCCCTTCTGCCTAGACCCTCAACCTCAGGTTTCCTGAGCCTTGTCATTCCGATTGTCCCTTTACACACTAGTTCAATCTACCCATTCCCCAGAGGAGTCTTCCCTTGACCCCTTCCCTCTTATCCGCACAACCGTCTATGTTCCATTCTTCGGGTCTCCCAAAGCACCATGCATCTCCCTTCGTGATGTTTATTACCTCTACAGTGCCATTCTAACTTGACTTCCTGCAGAGACATCATATCTCTGTAGGCAAGAACCCAGTATATTTTGTTTGTGATTACGTCTTTAGTACCTAACGTAGTGCCTTGTAAATATTAGGTGCTCAAATCCTATTTGTCAAATGAATAAATGATGGGATGTGCTTTTAAAATTACCATTATGCGTGCTGTGCTGATAATAGCCAAGATGAGGTAGGCAAGGGGGTGCTATTAGAGTGTGTGGGGGGGTGTAGATTAAGTTTGACAGCAATAAGAAGTGAAATTAATAGACCTGAGAAAGACTGAAGTAGTGGGCATGGCAGAACGTGGTGAAATTAGATGGGGGGTGGTACGGGAGAATGTGGCCCAGAATTCCAGTGTGAACATAACCTGAACTGAATGGATAGTTGTCGTTTTGGGAGGGTGAAGGAACAACAGATATGGAAGTAAGATACAAGGGGGGCAAGAGACATTAAATAATTCACCTTGGAATCTGCAGGTTTGGAATTCCTGTAGTACTGTTCAAAAGACAGCTGGTATATATGAGTTTGCATTTCAGCAGAGTGGTCTGGGTGAGACAAATAAATTTGGAACTCGACAACGTCTGTATGAAATTTAAAGAGCTGGACATAGAGGAAGTGGTCAGGGAGAAAGGACAAAGTGAAAGAATGCAACCCAGGCCAGAACACAGCACGACTATGCGGAGACGAGAGTTAGAATCTGAGAAGCAGCAGACAGTGCCTAGGAGAGAAACCAGGAAAACGCTTCAAGGAGACTGAACTGACACACACCCGCTGGACACTCCTCGAAGGTAGCAGGCTCACAGCAAAGTGTCCACTGGGGTCACAGAGAGGGCCCCGGTGACCTTGCCTGGAAGCTCCCGTGGATGTAAGTCAGAATGGAGTGGAGTTTTTTAAATGAATGGGAAGTTAGGGACCACTATGCAACAGACAAACAGGACTCACAAGAGGCTGGAAATAACCTCTGAACTGGAGAAGGAAAACTGCTCCTATGGAGCACTCTAGACGCTCCTAGGCCTCCCTGTCGGGCAGATATGGGAACCTCGCCGACCCCTGGGCACACCCCTCGGTCGCTGAGGACAGCAAAATGCAGCTTGACAGATCCCAGGCCTGGGACTCTAGGCTGGAATCGCGCGGCCTGGCTCCAACCCTGCTCAAGTCCCCTTCCCAACATTAGCCTCCCCTCCCCCACTCTTCCATCGCCCCTCGCTTTGCTGCTCCCTCTGCCCCCCCCCCCCCCACACACACCCAAGGCATCTGGGAGGGCCAAGAAGCAAAGCTGGGGAGCGGTCGGTTTGAGGACCAAAGTGAACCCTGCGGAGGGTGGCTCTGCAGGCCCGCGGGAGGAAGGCGGCGCTGGCATCAGAAGGGGGTGGGGGTGGTCAGGCCTGGCCCGGGGACCAGGACTCCTGCGAGGAAGGTGCCGCAAGGGCCACCGGCGGCCGAGGCTGGGCCCTGGCAGGGGCAGCTCCTACCTGAGCGGCGAGGCCCCAGGCCCAGGTGGCGAAGGCGGCTCAGGCTGCAGGGCTCCGGCAACGCCGCAGCTTCTCCATCACAACATCCCCCGCCCAGGAGCGCGCAGGACGCGGGGCCGCGCCCCGAGCGGCGGAGTCGCGCACGGGAGGGGGAGGGGCGCCATCTTGGCCCGGGCGGGGCGCGCGAGCCGCTGCGAGCCGCCCCGGCCGCACCCTGCAGACCCTGGCCCTCCGCGGGGCCCGGAGCGCAGGCCTCAGGCCTATCCCGCTCGGCCGCGCCCAGCTCCCGAGACCCCTGCCCAGCTCTCCCTTCCACGCCTCCGACTCACCTCCGCCGGGCCCCAGTCCTGCACCGACGACGGCAGCCGCGCCCGGAGCTCCGGGCCCGGTCCGCTGGGGCGGGCGGGGGTGGGGGTTGCTGAGACCGCGATCGCGCCTCAGGAGGCTGGCTGCCCGCTGCTCCCTGGCTCTCGTGGCCGGACTCCCTGACGTCCTGGGGATACCAATAGCGCGTACTTATTGACCGCTTACTCCGTACCAGGCTCTGTGTTCAACCGTTCGCTTGCCTTCATCCTCAGATCAGCACTGTGCAATGCCCACAGTTGTTATTCTCGGGTTTGAGCGGCAGGTGCTGACATTCTGAAGGATAACGGGACCTGCCCGCAGTAACAGAGTTGGTGGTTAAACTAAACCAGAACTGAGGTATTTCTTAACACTCTACCAGTGCCTCTGACTAGAGAGCGGTGACACAGCCCCCACCCCACCCCGTGCGCGCTCCCGGGTAGAAATTAGCTCGAGGAAAGCACCAAGGGGATCCTATGAGTGGAAAATGTACGGAAGAGCTGCTGAGGTACTTGCTATGTTCTTGTTCGCTGCAGACCTGTGTGGCAGTGAGGCAAGTCTTAGCGGTCAGATCGCTGACCTAGAGCCCATCGAGAATGAGAGGAGCAGAACCCCTAAAAGCGTGGTCCTCTAGACTTTAATCTGTGGGCTCTGACCAACTGACTAGAGCTGCATCTAAGCCTGACAGTGCCCAAATCTAAATTCATTATTTCATCTTGTGTTCATCCTCTAAGAAATTTCCCTGAAGTGGAAAAGTTCTCTCTCTCTCTCTCTCGTGTGTGTGTGTGTGTGTCTGTCTGTCTCTGTCTCTCTCTCTCTCTCTCTCTCTCTCACACACACACACACAGAGACAATCTGGATGCAAGTTCACTTTATCATTCCCTTGCTTGTTCAAAGCTATTACTGCAGGTTGTCATTGAATACACTTTCATTTATCCTGAGGTGAATGTAAATGCTTTAACTTTCTGTTGTGGACATTTTCACATATGTGTGAAAACAGAACAGTATAACAAAACTTCCTATGTCTCTCATTCATCTTGTACAATTACTGGCTTGTGGTTAAGGGTCCATTGTAATCTGACAAGCTCCTATTCTATACAGACCGTATTGGGTCCCAACCAGGACATAATGTAAGGACCCCAAAATGAATCAGGTTTAGCTGTATCCCACCTGGAAGATGTGAACGTGACCTGAGTCCTCAGGAAATGAGCAAGGGTTACCTAAAAGGATAAAGGTATCTTCATTCATCCATCCATTCATTTGCAACAAATAATTGTAGTGTTTGAGGCACTGTCCTTGGTGCTAATGCCCAAAGAAACAAGATGGAGTTCCTGTTGTCATACAGCTTACAAGTTAACAGAGGGAAGAGACTGAGCAAGTAATTAGAAGCATGGTGTCTTAAGAAAATGCACAGAGCGCTGTGTGGATAGAGTCAGTCTGGCCTGGAGATTTGGAAAGCTCGCACAGGAAGTAAAATTTAAGTGAGAGAACAGGATGAAGGAAGTAGAGGTCAGACAGAAGAAAATTACTGTAAGCAACAGGAGTACCAGAAGAGTATGGCTACTGCTATAGTTTAAAGATCTCCACACACACTCATGTTGAGTCAAGAGGACTATAAGTTCAAGGCCAGTCTGAGTTATTGTATAGTAAGACCCTGCCTTAATCTGACCCCAGAAGTCATGAGGGTTCTGCTTTCATGGATGAGTTTGTCCATTTGTGGATTAATAGATTAAAGGGTTGTATGGAGAACAGGTCTGGTATAAAAGCCAGTTTGGCTGTATCTCTTTTATGCACTCCCCTCCCCTTACCATGTGGTGCCCTGGGCCATCGTGGAACCCTGTAAAGTCCTAACAGTGGGCTGAACCTCAGCAAGTATTCACCTTGATCTTAGACATCCCAGACTCCAGGAATATCAGTAAATACACAGTCTGTGGCATTTAGTTACAACCCCAAAAAGCAGACTAAGGCAAGTGTGATGGTGTAGAAGAATGTTCTAAAAGATAGAATAGTGTCAGATCAAGTTGGGTCTTGTATGGTCCATTCTGAACTTTACTTTAAGGGCAGGAGAAAGTCATCAGAGTGTAGATTAAGAGAAGGCGGGTGTGATCATCTGGATGTTGGGGGAGAATAATAGGTCAAAGCTGGAAGAATGCAGACCAGTAAGAGGCATTAAGGTGACATAGGTGGGAGATGATGACTAAGGAGCATTCCAGTGGGATTAGGAATGGAGAAAATTGCATAGGTTCAATGAATTCAGGAGGTAAAATGTACAGAATTTAGTAATTACTTAATTAGTTGGGCATTGAATTGGGGAAATAGGGGAAATGACTTCTAGATTTTTCACCCTGACCAATGAGAAAAATCAGAAGCACTACTCATCAAAAACAGCACACCCAAATTATTTTTCTCTCCAAGTCTAATTGAACAGGAAGCTGAGGTATTCAGGGAAATATTTTCAGATAATCACAGAGACATAAACAATCTAATGAGAATGAGGAGTCTACATTTCTTTTCAAGAAAGAGTTTCTCTATGTAGCTCTGGCTGCCCTGGAATTCACTGTAAACCAGGGTGGCCTTGAACTCACAGAGATCCACCTGCCTCTGCCTCCTGAGTGCTGGGCTTAAAGGTGTGAGCCACCACCACCTGCATTGGTTACTTTTCTGACGTTATGATAAAACACCATGACCAAAGCAGCTTGTGGAAGGAAAGGTTTGTTTGGGGCTGACAGTTTCAGTGGGAATTGACAGAAGCCCCTGACTGTCATGGCAGGGAGCATGGCAGCAGGCAGGCATGATGCTGGAACAGGAGCTGAGAGCTCACATCTTGATCCCCCACCACAGGCAGAGTTTCTCTGTGTAACTGCCCTGGCACTTGGTCTGTAGGACCACTCTGGCCTTGAACTCACAGAGATCCGCCTCTGCCTCCCAAGCATGAGATTAAAGGCATGTGCCACCACTGCCCACTGAAATATTGTTTTAATGTTATACTTTTTTTAAGCATAATTTTTTTTTCTGTATTTGAAGTATTAAACACCAGAACTTCTAGGTGGTGGCTTTCTTTAGAAAAATCTATATAATAAAATATTCTTGTGTAGTACATGAGGTATAATTCAGAAATTAGATCCCAGGCCTGGCAAGAACTTCTTTAAGACACCTCAATAGAAATATCCTACCTGGGCAGTGGTGGTTCATGCTTATAATCCCAGTACTTGGAAGGCAGAGGCAGGAGGATATCTGTGAGTACGAGGCCAGCCTAGTCTATGGAGCAAGTTCCGGGACAGAAAAACCCTGTCTTGGAAAGCAAAAACAAACAAACAAAACAACAAGAACAACAACAAGAAATATCCTAACTCACAACAGTACTAAGATAAAAAGACAAAGGCCTGAGACCTGAACTCAAGAAATGCCAGAGCTTAGGAAACCAACAGAGGAAAGGGCAGGACAGAAAGGAAGCCAAGAAGAAACTTGAGAATGAGAGAGGAGTTGAGAGAAAGTAACATGGTGGATAAGATGTAAGGGAAAGAGTTCAAGGACTATTAAATTGCCAACAGCAGCAACTGCTGCAAAGATTTCCAATAAGGTCACAGCAAAAACAGCATTCTTTGAATTCAGCATGGGGAAGGTCATGAACCTCCATAATCTGGTCCACATCAGCAGAAAATTGAGGTGCCCACACTGACGAACTGAACAAGCAGGAAGTAGCTAAGTAAATGAAGGACCTCCATGTAGAAGCTTGAAAGAAACAGGAGGTAGAAACTGGAAAATGATTTGAGGCTAGAGTTTGATTTGGGGCATGCCTTTAATCCTAGCATTCTGAAGGAAGAGGCAGGCAGATTTCTGTAAGTTCAAGGCCAGTCTGACCTACATAGTGAGTTCCAGGACAGCCAGGGGGACAGAGAGAGACCCTGTCTCAAAACAAAACAAAACAAAACAAAACAAAACAACAACAACAAAAAAAAAAAAAAAAGAGTCTGCTTTAGGGGACTGGAGAGATGCTCAGCTATTAAGAGCATTAAGAAAACCCCCAGCACCCACATAATGGCTCACAACCAACTCCTGTTCCAGGAGATCTGATGCCCTCTTCTGGTCTCTGTGGGCACTGCATTCATGTGGTACACAGACATAGATCCAAAACACACTATATAAAATAATAATAATAATAATAATAATAATAATAATAATAATAATAATAATAATAAATCTTCTTAAAATTTTAAAGATTCTAGTTTTGTGGCATGGAGATTTCTCAAGAAACTACAAACAAAACTTTGGGGAGACAGAAGCAGGAGGCTCTTAAGTCTGAGAACAATCTGGGCTAAATATCCAGACCCTGTTTCAAAATTTTTTCATTACTTTATCATTTTATAGCCTGATCACAGCCACCCACCTCTTCCCAGTCCAACCCTCACAGTCCCTCTGCCATTCTCCCTTCCCCTTCTCTCCAGAGAAGGGGAAAACCCCAGGGGTACCACCCCACCCTGGCACATCAAGTCACAGCAGAACTAAGAACATCCTCTCCCACTGAGGCCAGACAAGGCAGCCCAACTAGGGGAAAGGGATCCAGAGGCGGGCAACAGGGTCAGAGACAGTTCTCTTCTCATTTTGTTAGTGGACCCACATAATGTCCAAGCTACACATCTGCTACATACGTGTAGGGGGTCCTATGTCCAGCCCATACATACTCTTTGGTTGGTGGTTCAGTCTCTGTGAGCCCCCACATGCCCAGGTTAGTTTATTCTGTAGGTCTTCTTGTGATGTCCTTGACCCCTACAGCTCCCTCAATCTATCATCCCACTCTTCCACAAGACACCCCAACTTCAGCCTATTGTTTGCTGTGGGTCTCTGCATCTGTTTCTATCAGCTGCTGGATGAAGCCTCTTAGAAGACAGTTATACTAGACTCCTGTCTGCAAGCACAGCAGAGTATTGTTAATAGTGTCAGGGGATGGCTCTCTCCCATGTGGTGGCTCTTAAGTTGGGCCAGTCATTGGTTTGCCATTCCGTCAGCCTCTGCTCCACCTTCATCTCTACATTTCTTGTAGACATGTCTAATTTTGGGTTGGAAAGTCTTATAGATGGGTTGGTGTCCCCCTCCCTCCACTGGAAGTCCCACCTGGCTACAGGGTGTGGCCATGTCAGACTCCATATTCCCCATTACTAGGAGTCTCAGCTAGAGTCACCAGTGTAGACTCCTGGGAACCACAATGATTTCCATTCTCTCTCAGTCCTCCCCCAACCCCACTCCACTCTGCTCTCCCTGCACCTGATCTCCACCCCTCTCCCACCCATTTTTTGTAAATTTATAAATTTAAAAACTAGGGAGAGGTGGCTAGAGTGATGGTTTAGTAGTTAAGAGCACTTGCTGCATTTGCAAAAGACTTGAGTTCAGTTCCCAGAACCCTTATTGGGCAGCTCACAA